AAACGTTTTGCGCTTTGTCCGGCTGGTCCTCAGAGAGTTAACATCCACTGGGCGGTTTCTCCACACTGTCATGATTTGCATATTTACTGCTCCCCCCGCCTTAATGCTTATGGTCTAGTGCTGATATCCATTATGATACGATGGTGAAGTCATCGCGGATATCGGTTGAAAATTGGTTGATTTTCGTTCATTCATTTCGCAGCTCGCTCCTTTCTAGTTGCGGGAACCGTAGTTGCATGTTTTTTTAAAAATGTTTTCCATCTTGCGCTATTAAGTAGGCTCCTTTGGCTGGATTCCAGAATGCGAGTGTTAGGTTTTCGATATGCCGGAGCATTTGATCCTCCTTCTAGTTCTTGACTGATTGCGATACGGCTTATCAAAATACTTTAATCCTTCGAGTCTTCTGGCATCTTGTTCAAATGCTTCTGCCTTCTCAATGTAGATCACTCGATTTGGAAAAGGTGCAGGCTCACGTGCGAGGTTACCTCAAATTTCCATTTTTAGAACTTTTCTAAAAGTCCTCATACCATAATCCTTCGAAAAAACGTCATTTCGGCGGCTTGTATCCACAGTACCTTTCCCTACTTATTTTTTGCTTAGCAAGTCGGTTGTTTTTAAACTTGTACTATGAGCTTTCGTCCTTTTAGGTTAAATATGTTATCTGGAATGGCGATATGTCGTTTGCGGCATTGCTCAGCAAACACACTATGACCTTAGTCGATCGTAAGCTGGTGGTATTATGTTCGATCCATGAAAGCAATCGTGTCAAATCCGGCATCTGGAACGACACCGGCGTGTTTCTGTACACTACTAGCAACCACATCAAGTACGCTTTAACAGGTGGCGACTTCGGGGTCATTCGTACGCTGGACGTGCCGATTTACATCACGCATGTTGTAGACGGTACCTTGTACTGTCTGAAGTGAGTACTGTAGGATTCGCGATTAGTTGTTTGAGTGCCATAACATTATTTGACTTACGTTTCTAGTCGAGATGTCGAACCAAAGGTGGTCACGTTTGATCCCACTGAATATCGGTTTAAATTAGCGCTAATCAACCGACGTCACGACGAAGTGTTGAACATGATACGAGACGCAAAGCTCGTTGGGCAGACAATCATTGCCTATTTGAAGAAGAAGGGATATCCAGAGATCGCGCTTCATTTCGTTAAAGATGAAAAGACACGGTTCGGCCTGGCACTTGAATGCGGCAACTTAGAAATCGCCCTTGAGTCTGCAAAGGCCATTGACGACCCATCTTGCTGGGATGCGTTGGCTGAAGCAGCGCGTGTACAGGTAGCTTAAATTCTCTGTCCATTTATGCTGTTTCTGTGTTCACTGTGGCGAAGTGCATGTTTTGGCACTTTGTTTAGCATAGTAAATGAGTATCATTAGAGTTGCAGGTGCGGCTTCTACGCCAGTTGTTCTTGCTAACATTTATATCTCGGCCTTTGGCAAAACATCAGGGGTGTTAGTAAGAAAAAAGACAGGTATACCGTAATTTAGAAACAGTCTAACAGATAACTTCTGCTTATTTAACTTTAGTACTAACGAAAATTAGTGAAACTGAATGTGAAAGTTGAAGCTCAAATAATTTGATTGGAGAATTTTGCTTTTCGATGAATAGGAGAAGCATGATTGTAGATTAAAGAATAAACAGAATGGCAGTAAAAAACAACTACCCGGCCGGCCTATCAACGTCATAGGTCGATAGTCAAATGACTCAAAGATTCAAAGATTGCTCAGGCTTTCACTGTGGATTCTTCATGGTTCCCACACGCCGAGCGCAATCATGCCAGGCTGTTTTGTCCTTAGCGGTTTTTATCCAGTTCTTTCCTGCTGCCACGTACGTCCGCCACCTCATTGGAGGTCGCCCGAGTGGTCGTTTTCTTTTTCTCGGATACCATTCTACAATGCGCGAGGTTCATCGGTTGTCGTCGAGACGTGCGACGTGGCCTGTCCAACGGATCTTGCTCACTCTCATGGTTTGCACGCTATCTTGCACGCCACTCATTTTTCGGAGAGTTTTG